AAGTGATGTGAAATAGAGTCTGAACATTCTTCTTTCACATTCAAGCCCTTTTCCCCTGACTTCCCCGTGAAAGGCCCTGGCCCCTGTGGGGCCGCTGTGGGGTCCGTGGTCACCGACGTGGCAGAGGGCCCGGCTGTCTCAGGGCAGGAGACGCAGGAGGAGACGCAGGAGGAGACGCAGGAGGAGACGCAGGAGGAGAAGGGGTTGGGACCGGGTCCGAGGCCCCTGGTGGTGGCGCCCGGGGGAGGGGGGAGGGTGCGCAGAGGCCAGCCGCCTGCCTGGCCGTGTGGAGTGGGCCCGGCCTGTCCCCCTCACCGACACGGAGCTTGTGGGCGGAGTGCAGTGATGGTTCTGTACCGGAGGGGTGCGTTCTCCCTGGAAGGGCCCACTGCGCGCCCAGTGCTGAGTGTGTGCTTTCCCCACGCTCGGACCCAGCCCAGCCGCCTCTGGAACCCGCCGCGGGCAGGGGCTGCAGGAGCCGGTCGCCGGCGGGGTGGGACTCGCCCTGGGGTCTGCCGCCCGCCCCGCTGCCCTGCCGCCGACCCAGTCACGTGAGAACCCCAGGGGGGCGTTCCGGCCGCCGCCGCGGAGCCTCGTGTGGCCCAGCTCGGGCCCCTCTCTTGGGTGCAGGGCAGTGGCCCCTGGACACGGGCTTCTAAACCCGTGGGAGGAACGGGGCCAGTGTGGCCCTCCGGACCGGGAAGCCTGCCCCCCAAGCAGCCTGTGTTCCGACGCCCGACGAACTGTGCTCGCCGCCGGCACGACCGAGAGCAGCCCTTGGCTCCCCGGAGGGACCGGGCTTTGTCAGCGGGGCTCTGGCCAGCGGTTTCATTTCGGTGCCGTTATACGATTTAACGCTCCTAGCAAGTAGGAGCCCATGTACCGCCCCAACTTTACAAATGAGGGGGGGGGGCTCAGAGGTGGTGAAGGAATCACCCCGGATGAAAACGCCGTTATTTGTTGAGTGGCAACAGCGTGCGGTGCGGGGCGGGCGTCTGGACTGTCAGCGGGGCCGTCACTCCGCACCCGCGCCCTGGGGTCCGAGCAGTGGAGCAGGGGTGGGGGGGGGCGGGCGGCTGGGGGCTATCCCGTGATGCAGTGAGTCTGGGAAACGCTGGGCGCTTCTCCACCCGGCTGAAACTCCACGCCACACGGATGAGCTGTGACACACGCTCTCCAGGCCACACGGATGAGCGGTGACACACGCCGAGGCGCCAGCAGTGACAGGACAGCGGGGGTGCTGCTCCGGGGTTCCCTGACCGTGAGCGTGTATTGGAGTAGCTCTTGCCAACGGAACCTCCTTTGGAAAATGCTCCCTCCACTGTTTGACCTAGAAACCGGGTCCCGGTTTTTCACGGCAAGAAGCCACGACTCCGGAAGGCCCTCGCGTGTGCACAGTCACCCGGCACGCGGCTGCGCCGGGACTCGGACCTCAGTCCTGACTGACTTCGGAATCTCTAGGACGTCCTCCTCCTCCTCTGTCTCCAGAGTCCGGGACTCCAGGTCGCCAGCTCTGACCCCGACGTCCCGGGTGGCAAAGCTGAAATAAGAGTCTTGAAAGGCTCGAGCGTAACGCCGTAGGTGAAGCCCTTTGTGAAGACCACAGAACGACGTATAAATGTCGGAACCAGGTCGCTTCCAGTGCACAGAGTCACAGGAACGCCCGCGGGTGGGGGGCCGTTTCTCAGTCCGGCCTCTTCCTCACACTCGGGAGGAAGGGCCGGTGGAGACACATGCTTTGTCCCCGGAACTCTTGGTAGCACTTTCGGTTTGTTAGATAACCCTTGGGCATGCGAACTTCTGCGATCTGTGATTTCTATGTGCAGAACCAACACATTTGGAAACTGAAAACAAACCATATTTAACCAACGTCCGATTCCACCGCCGGTAAAACTGCGGTGCCGACTGAGGGCGGCCGGCACGTGGCTCCCTGCACAGCGCAGCACGCACGCGCCGGGGGAGGGGGAGCGGCCTCCTCAGCCGCAAGGCCGGGCCCCCGCCGCGGCCGGGCCCTCTCCCGCCGCGCGGGGCAGAGCAAGGGGGTGTGTGGTTCGGACGCCCCCGCTGATCCTGCCGGCGGACCTCCCTGCCCCGGGAACTGCGTTTGGGGGACGCTTCCCGTTGGAAGGAGCCGCTTTAGGGAGACAAGGGGCAGCTGATCCCGGTTTGGGGGGAGATGAAAAGCCTACCCCTGCCCTGCGCACGGTGGGGAGGAGACAGCCCCCACGGGAACCAGGCGGGCAGCCTCCCCGCCCCGGGCTGAGTGGGCGGGGCTGCCCCCCACGCGCTCCGCACCGCGAGTGCAGCTGGGGGCCAATCTGCAGAGAGCCCCAGCGACGGTGGGTGGGGCTTCCCTCCTCCGCGGCCTCCCCCTCGCCCTCCTCCCCGAGCCCGTGGGGTGAACGGGCCGTGGCCAAGCAGCCAGAGAGGCCAGTGTGGTCGCGGCGACGCTCAGGAAAGGCTGGCCCGGAGCCCCTGTCTGTCCGGGAGGGACGGACGGCACCGCGTGTGCGGGGAGGCGCTGCTCCGTGCGGAGCGGGCGAGTGGGAGGGCTCTCTGCGAGCGCCCCTAGCGCAGGAGCTCCGGCGTCGGCGCAGAAGAGCAGGCGGCAGGGACAGACCCGCGGGTCCCCAGGGATAAGGGCACCCGCGCCCCCGACACCCGCAGGGGGCTGCCAGGCTCTGCTGGCGAAGGTCGCTTGAAAGGCTGGTGTCCGTGAAGGTCTGCCCAGGGGTCGTCTGGACGGCGTGCCGCCAAGCTCAGCTGGTGGTCTTCCGAGACAGACACCGGGTTTCACTTCATCCCCGTTTCCTGGAGCACGTTTCTGAGTCTTTAAAATCTAAGACATCTTCGGATCTTTGTCTAAACGACACCTTTTAAATAGTGAAATGGATTTGAATTAAAAATTAACACTGTTACGGAGTCACAATGAAAATACAGGGCTTCAGGTTACTGGAAAACATGGGACTCGACAGAACTCTTGGGACAGAACGGAGGAAACCGGAGAAAAAGGCTCACAAAGGTGAAAAACGTCCCCAGACGAGCATCTCGTCGTCACACTTCCCGCTGTTGAAAGTCTGAATCTGCCTTTTTTTTTCCACGAGGAAACAGCTGCTCAGTGTCGATGCACGAAGGCGGAACGGAGGCACGTTGATGGCCTGGCAGGTCCTGGAAACTTGGTTCTCGGGGGCCGCAGGTGCCTCGTGCCCCACCTGTCTCCGGCGCGCCGAGCGGGACGCCCGCCGCACACGGGTTTTGCCGTCCTACAGGGACGGGGAGTCGGGCTCTTCCTGCTCCGCGGACTCGGAGAGCGCCGGCGGCGGCGGCGGCCACAAGGGACAGTCGCCACGGGAGCCCCTTCCTTCAAGCCGGTCACACAGTGCGAGCCGAGGGCTGTGTCTGAGTCCCCCTCTCCGCTCGCATCCACCTGCCACGCCCCACCCCCGTGGACACAGGGGTCCCAGGAGTGGGGTTGGGCGGGTGGGTTTGCTCACACGGCGGCCCATGTGAGAGACAAAAAGGCTTGCGTGCCAGAGAAGTGAGAAAAGAAACTCGGAAACATGAGTAAATCAGACGCAGAAGTGAGCGTTCCGGTGGAAGTGCAGATGGAATGAAGCCGGTGGTGTGAGAAGCACACCGGAGCCCGACACACGCAGGCTCCTCCCTGTGGGCCGAGCCGCACGAGGCGACACACTCGGCAGCACACTCGGCAGCACACTCGGCAGCACACTGAGAGCTCACGCAGAGCAGACGGTCCGCCCTCCCTGCTGATACAGACGCTTCCCTCTCGAGGTCCCGGGAAGGGGCGTCTAATCCGCTCTCGGTTGCCTGGCCGTCTGGGGAGCGTGTTCGCGGTGAAGCCGGGTCAGGCTCGACCGTCGGCCCTGGGAGCCCCCCAGGGGGAGCGTCCGCGTCACAGAGGCGGCGAGGCCGGTGTGAGGTCAGCCGTCAGCATCGGCCCCGGCGTTTGCAGGGCCCGGGCGAAGCGCAGACGTGGGGCCCTCGTCCCGAATTACCGGGGGTTTTAAACCAGCCCCGCTGCTCACAGCCCGTGTCTCAGAATCCCAGCAAGGCCTCTGGGTGCGAGGGGCGGCCCCCTGCCCGGGCGAGGGCGCGAGTCGGCGTTCTGCCTGTTCCAGCACGTGTGCGAAGGAGTGAGCTTTCCTCACAACCACCGTGTTCACACGAGCGTAAGCTCTGGTTTCCATCGAAAACAGAACTAACAGGCAACAGCAGTTGACTACTGAAATCAACCGTGATCCGGAGTGTGATCTGGAGAAGGGGCTTCTCGTGCGCTTCACTGTCATTTCGGGTTGCTCATCCTATTTCTGGCAAAAAATTTTAGTGAACCCTGGCTGGCGTAGCTCAGTGGATGGAGCGCGGGCGGTGAACCAAAGTGTCGCAGGTTCGATTCCCAATCAGGGCACATGCCTGGGTTGCAGGCCACGACCCCCAGCAACCGCACACTGATGTTTCCCTCTCTCTCTCTTTCTCCCTCCCTTCCCTCTCTAAAAATAAATAAATAAAATCTTTTAAAAAATTTTAGCGAATTGTCTTTTGTAATTACACGTCGATAGAGTTGAAGGCTCAGTTTGAAAACACTACGTTGACACCTTTATACAAATCGCCCTGCTCTAGTGTGCGGGCTCCGCACCCACACTTGGGGGCGCTACCATTTCTCTCCGAGTGTTTGCCAGTCTGGGGCTCATTTCTCCCCACTCTGTCTGCGGAGCGCGTGACCGGGAGAGACGGCGAGTCTGGGCCCCGCCCTGCCGCCCCAAGAGCACAAGCCGGGCTCCGCGGGCACGGCGCCGCTCTGTCCCCCGTCACCCAGGGAGAGGCCGGGCTGCACGTCCGGCAGCGCCTGGGAGGGGCTCAGGAGCTCCGGGCGTCTGACTCGACAGCCCGTCACAGATGCGGGCGAGCGTCCCGGCAGCGTCCCAGACTCAGCACAGACACTGCAGACCGACGCCCGCCCAGTCCGGGAGAGAGGGACTCACCTGCTCCACGTCGCTGTGGTTCTGCCGTGACTTGTACATAAACTCTCCGATGGCCACGAACACGGACAGGACCAGCCCGGCGGCCAGGACGATGAAGATGCCGCCGATGTTCTCCACGCCCAGGGCGCTGGCCTCCTTGCCGTCCTCTTCCGGGCAGCCGCTGCCCCGCCACCACTTCTCCTTCATCATGTGCAGCTTCCCCTGCTCCTGCAGCTGCAGGATGGCGATGGTGATCTTGTCCCGGTAGGGCGAGCCTGGGGGCAAGGTCACCGCAAGGTCAGAGGAGGCCTGAGGCAGGGGGCTGTCTTAGGGGAAGCCCAGCCCGCATGCTGGAGGCCAAGGGCACTGGCGGGGGGGGGGCGCTACAGGACCCCGGGAGGGGTGCCGCCGGGCTGGGAGGAATTCTTGTCCAACTCCCTGCCCCTTTTAAGTGAGGAAAGCAGAGCTGGGACTTCGGGGGCAGACCTCTGCTCCGGGGAGCTAGTCACGAGTCTTTCCCACATGAGGAGGTCCGGTCGCTTAGGCTCTGCTCTTTCCAGGCTGCTGGTTGTCTGATATTGTGACCGCCTGGCCAGAGGACACTCGGTCACCTCCTCTTCCCCCTGGGGAGCAGCTGACACTCCCCAGTCTCCGTCACAGTGCAGGGCGTGGACCATGGCCCGCCTCAGCCACAGGGGTCCAACCCTGACTCACAGTGCCCCCCACACCACCCTCTGCTCTGGCCCTTCCCCAGCCGCCCAGCAGGACGGTGAGGAGCTCACGGCCCCGGGACAGTGGGACCCCCAGCTTGAGGGTCCCGGGTCCCGGGCTGCTGGCTCTGGGCAGGCTCTTCCAGTCCGCGTGGGACCGGGACGAGGTCGAGAAATAGACCCCGACGGCAGGAGACGCCGAAAAATGGCAGATGTCGGCTGCAGCCGGTCTTCTGTGCTGGCTAGTGCACCTGGCACTGTTCAGAGCGGGTTTTGATTAAGTCGAAGGTCTGACCAAATTCATTGTTTGGAAAGTTTGTGAGGACTCTATTGATATTATTTATAGTTTATGCTGAAATGATGCCACGGAACCTGTAGGGTCAGAGAGCGCCACCGCTGGCCTGCAGCTGTGGCTTGCCTAACCCTGGACCCCTGCGTGGGTTCAGAGGAAGCCGGGAAACGATGGCAAATTTCAGTCACCCAGTCTGTCCTTGGGTGCTCGGGGTTTTTGTTTGTGTTTCTTCTACTCAGTAGGAAAATCGCTTTTTGTGAGCAAGCTTTAAAATTATTGGTAGAAACAGAAGAATGCCAAAAAAAGAGCAAATAGAAAAATGTGGTGTCTCAGAACCAGAAGAAACCCCAGGACGCGTGCAGTCCAGTCCCCCGAGTTTGGAGTGGGCGGGGTTTGGTGAGTGGCAGGCTCGGGAATCGGGGCGGAGCCAGCGAGTCCGCGGCGTGGTCCCCGCCCCGTGCGCGCCCCGCCCCCTCAGGCCCCGCCCCCGTCCCGTGCGGTGGGGGGGGGGGGGAAGCGGAGGGTTCGGACGTTTCGCATTCACCGCTGTGTTTTGTTTTTCTTTTCCCCAAAGGCGTCGTCAGCGCTCAGAGTCAAACTCGAACAAAAAGCCGAGGGTGTCCTAGTTGGACTGCGGCCCGCCCGATAGGGGTGTGGGTTCCCGGTGAGAACGCGGCTCTGCACAGCCGGGCCAAAGGCTCGGGCTGCTGCGGGGCCCAACAGCAGCGCCCCGAGCAGCAGCGCCCCGCGCGCCAGCGCTGGGGAGGGCGGGGACGAGGCGGCCCCTGGCGGGCGGGCGCTGCTTCCGGACCGGGCGTCGGGTCCCTGGTTCAAGGCGTCTCCGGGGACGGTGGGCCGTCCAGGCTCCTGGGAGCCCGTGGAAGCCTCGCCCGCTCCCGTTCCCTCGAAGGGTCATTTTCGGCCCCCGTGCGGGGCTCCTGCCCTGAGGGCCCTTCAGAAGCAGAGTCCGCACTTCTGCGCGGTGACCCCTGACCCCGCCAACCTCGGACCGCTCGGCAGGGGCTGGCGCCCGCGTGGACTCGGCCAGGCGGGACCAGAGGCTGCAGCAGAGGGTCCTTCACCTCCGAGTCTGCTGCGGCGTCAGGCCTCGCTGTTCCTGCCCAGGTGGCCCGAGCGGCCCAGGGCGCGACCCCGCGCACGACCCCTGGAAACTGCAGGGGTCGCACATGGTCTCGGCCCGCCCGCCCGAGAAGAGCCCTTTACCAGTCCGTCTGTCCAGCAGCCTCCTCCCCACGGACGCGCTCGCTGGGGTCTGTCCCCGCCCCCCGTCACTTCTGCACGGGGACTGGTTCGAGAGCACCGCAGGTCTGCAGCCTCCAGGGCAGGTTCCTGAGCGCGCGTCCTCCCACCCGGGGTGGGGAGGGCTCTCCGGCTTCGAACCCGTGTGTCTGAGTGTCTGAGTGTCTGAGTGTGGGCGGGCCGGCCGGACCCGCAGCGTTTGGGTCTCTCGTCACCGACCCGATCCGGCGTGAGGCCTGAGCAGATGATAATTTAATCTGCATCCGTGTTCCCTGAAAGATGCACCTTTGTTTTTACTGGTGTGGCCATGGAAACTCAGCCCTTTAACTTTTGTCACCCATTTGCATAATTAATTTCGTTGTACTGTAATACAACTTAAGGTAGGAAAGTACACAGACACATATAGGTAGTAAAGAAAATAATGTCCAGAAAATTAATCAGAAGGTATTCCTTTGAAAGGGTCTGGGGTAAAATAATAAGACCTGTGGACTCAGACAGGTATCTCCCGGCAGAGCCTGGGAGAGATGGGGATTCAGAGCTCGTCAGCTGGGCTGTGTTTGGGGCTGCACGTTCAGAGCCTGCCCCTCCTCTGCACGGGCAGATGCCCGTGGGCATCCCCCACGCTCGGCCTGGGAGACCCTGGGGGTGGGGCCCCCGCACCGCTCCCGCCCCTGCCCCGCCCTCACCTATGGGCGTCCCCACGCCGTAGCCCTTGGAGTCGATGAGGCCCCCGATCTGCGTGAGGTTGCAGTCCCTCTGCGTGGCGTACTCGATGCTGGCGGACTCCATGAGCAGCGCGTAGTCGGTGGCCAGCACCCGCCGGACGCCCTCCTCGCTGCTCCGCACCAGGGCCGTGTGCGGCCGGCTGCTCATGAAGGCCCACATCCTCTCGTAGGTGGAGATCCTGGACTTCTGTGGGGAGAGGGGCAGAGGGGCTGAGAGCTGCGTCCGGGGCCTCGCACCCCCGGGGACTCCCACGGCAGGGGCGCCGCCCTGTCTCCGGGTGGAAGCCGGCAGGCACGGCCCCGGGGCGGCTGGTGGGCCTGGGAGGGGCCCCCTCTGCTGCAGGGAGGGGCTCGCTGGCGCCGTGGGGGCCGCTGAGAAAACAGAGACCGTGGCCGGCTGCGGAGACGTGGGCTGGAGGTCCCGGTGGGGAGTCAGCTGGGGAAGGAAGAGCCGCGTCCCTGAGGGCACCTGCCTGAGGAGTCCCAGTGCTCAGAGCGGGTCCTTGAGGCCCCGGGGCCCCTGGGCTGGACTCAGGGGCTGCCTTTCCCGTCGCCGCATCCCCTGTCCCTTCGCAGGGCGGCCGAGTCCCGGGCCTGACCCACCCGGGCTGGCGAGGCCCCGGCGGGGGAGGTGGGTGCCACGCTCCCTCTGCCTCCCTCGCCCCCGTCCCGGGAAACCGAGACTGCAGGGCTCTTCCCGGTGGGAACGCCCATCAGAGGACTCTTCCGAGGGTGCTCCTGTGCCTCCTGTGTGTTCAGTCTCCAGTTCCCAGGTGATGAAGGCTGAGTACTTTATTCCAGAGTGTTCTATGCTGCTGTCTTTTCCCTCGTTCACTTTCTGGATGTATTAACACTAAACCACGTACGGCATACATGCACCCATGTACTGCACTCCCTCACTAGCCTCTCTCTTCGCTAAAACACACCCCCAAGTCTTCACCTGTTCCTGCTCAGCCCGGAAGTCCGTCCGTCCTTCAGAGCAGGGGCCTGTCGTTAGCCTCTCCCGGTCGCCCCTGTCGCTCGGACCCTGCTCCGGCTTTCCTCTGCCTGTGTCTGCACTCGCGCCAGCTCCCCTCCCCTTGCCGGGGAGACGGAGGGCTTGACGGGGTTCTGACAGCCTGCACCCCCCCGCACCGACCCCCACCGGCTCTCACCCACGGACTCGGCCCACCCGCCAGGCAGCTCCTTGGCTGGCGCAGCCGTGGACTCACGTCGGTGCAAACTAGGAGCCAGCCTCCACGCCAGACGTCCCTCGAAACACCCGTGTTCTCACTGTACGTGTGATGAGTGTCGCAAGCACCGGGGGGGCTGGGCATTTGGTCTGCGGGAGGACGGGGGGCAGTGGCGGCGAGTGCACTCCCGGCGAGGAGACAAAGCCCAGGAGGCCGTTTCGTCCCTCCCACACCGGAGGCCGTGGAGGCCGTGGAGGCCGTGGAGGGCCTCATGTCGGGACCCGGGCCTGCTCTCCAGCCTGGCGGGTGTGGCCCTCCTGTCGCCCGCTGTCCCTCCCTTCAGCCCGAGGCGGGCCTGTCGCAGCGGCCAGCGTGCAGCTCAGGCAGACATGACCCCAGGTGGGCCCGGACAGCCCTGCAGGTCGCCTACACACAGGGTGTGCCGCCCACGGCCCACACAGTGGGCGCCCCACAGAACCCAGGGCCACCAGACCACTCCTGAGCCATCACAGCCCATGTCCTTCCTGGCCAAGTCACGGCCTGGGGACGCCAGGTGGCGTGTGCGTCACCCACACTCTGGGTAGCGCTGCTCTGTGGGGCTGGAGCCATGTGTTGAACTCAGCCCCACCCACCCTTCCCGCCTGGGGTGGGAGCCCTCGAGGCCTGAGCTCCGGGCGGTGCTGGGAGGGAGGCTGGCCGCTCCTGCAGCTGCGGGGGCAGGGCCCCCTGGCGAGGAGGCCGTGGCTCAGTGGGGGATGGGGTCCAGGTGAAGGCACGAGGACACTTCTCAGGTCCTTCGACCTTCTCCTGCCCCTCTCGCTCCACCTGACAGCGGCGCAGACTCGGCGGGTCAGAGAGGGCGGTTTCTGCTTCCACCCCGCGTCCTCCCGCACCGCCCACGGCGCCCCGAGCCCAGGACCGCCGGCAGCCCCGGTGCCCGGGAAGGCACAGCAGGGAGCTAAGGAGCAGCATTCCCCCAGGTCAGGGACACCTGTGGGTGGCCCCCGCTCCCGGGGTGGGGGTTCTGCCCTTGGAGACCTGCAGGGGCGCCGTGGTCGGGCGAGAGTCACCGAAGGATGTCCACCCAGCAGGCTGGCGTTTCGAGTGGGCGACGTGGTGCCCACCTCAGAGCGGGAGGCCGCCCCGTCCGTGCGGGAGCTGGGGCAGGCCCACAGCACCTCCCGCCTCGGCCCTGAGCTCTGTCCACTTCATGCCCTGTCTGCACTGCCTGCTTTCTGTTAGGTCGAGTTAAATTAGATTTATTTCTTGAGTAGGTTTTCCACGTTTAATACAAAACTTAGGACTCCTTAAAAATAGGAGGGTAGTTCGTGGAGGATCGTCATGAGTGTGAAAATTCCAAGCAAACCCTCTGAAGGACAGTCCGGAAGTTTTCCCTTGTGCTTCTTCTGTGGTTTCAGCCGCGTTGCCCTCAATGATGCGAATTTCAACCGTAGAAACAGTGACCGCCTCTGGTTTCGTTGCGGGCGTCAGAGGTTAGTGAGGACACGTGTGAGGTACTCCGAGCTTCTCGGCCGAAGTGACTGGAACTGAAAAGGCCTCATTTCTTAAATCCGAAATCATCAGCTTCTTTTAATCCTGGAAGGGCATCACGTGGAGATGAACTCATTCTGTCTGTTTAAACTTGACCATGTGGCTGTGCCGATGCTGGCGAACGTTACTGGCGAAGGATGAGTGATTTTTCATCCGAAACCTGTTGTAAGGAACTGTCACTGGATGACCACGGCTTAGTTCTCCTTTTCCCCACGACGCCTGCAAGGCCAGCACCCGGGGTGCTGTGCAGCGTGTCCGTGAGCCCCTACGACCAATCCGCTGGCCGCCAGCGGCAGTGACGGTGCCCCTGCCGCGCGTGCTGAGTGCCCGGCGCTGCTCCGAGCACCGCGCGTGTTAGCTCACCTCGTCTCCACGGGGCTCCCACGGGGAGGACGCCCTACAGTCTCTTCTCCGCAGACGAGGAAGCAGCGCCCCACGGAGACGCGGTGCAGCCGGGATCTGGCCCCAAGGGGGGTCAGCCACGTGTCCCCGCACACGGGGCGTCCCACTCGGGCCGTGGCTCTCGTGTCCACCGGACCAGCCACGTCCCTGAGCGAGGGCTGCAGTGGCCACTGTGGCCTCTTCTGCGGCAGCCGGAGCCGCCGGGTGCTCACGGTCACCCCACGGCCTGCGGGGACGGGTCGCACGGCTTCGGGCAGCTCACGCTCGTTCAGACAAAAATGCAGACGGTGTGACAGGAGGTCCAGCAGCCGGAACCGGGGCGACAGCACGGCCGCCATACGTGTCTGTCTACCCGACGGCGGTCTGCACAGTGCGTGGCCTGTGCTCTCCGGCCACGGGGCTGCAGGTGCAGCAGGGAGAGTGCAGAAGCCCTGCAGCTCGCGTGGTCCCGCGTCTGCCAGGGGCTCCGTCTCCCGAGTCGGCCCCTCAGCTCTCGTCTTCACTCGGACGCCCACTGTCTGTCTCGCTGTCCGTCGCACTGTCCGCTCGGCCGGGGCGGGAGGCTCGTGCACGGGAGACGCACAGCCCACCCTGCAGACCAGCGTGTCGGAAGGCTTCGTGTTTATACATACAGATCCACGCTCACTCACCTATTTCCAGTTATCTCCCTAATCCCCCCCCCCCACACACACCCTGGGCAAATTACTGATATTTGATCTTTGTCGTTGTATCAAAAATGATCTTACAAATATGGTAAATATATCCGTATTGGACAAATAAAATACCAGAAACCATCACACTGAAAAGTCTTCAATATACCGTTACTTTAAAACCTTCTGATTTAAGGAAACCTTCCTATCAACCAAAGACGTGGAAGTTACTATGCGGAAGTCCAGACTTGGGAAGCAGGTTCCTCCGAGCTGAGCATTTCCTCTAACACACGCGCACACCTATCGTGTCGTTAAATGATGACAGTTCCCACAGCGCTTCCAAGCACGGCCTGACACGCAGAGCCCACCGCGCAGGAGGAACTGCAGGGAACGGCGGTCGCGGCTCCCAGCCCGTCTCTCACCCGGGCGTGAGGTCACGGCCGCAGCCGGTGTGCTCTGGCCTTGAACCGAGAGAAGGACGTTTGCAGAGCCTCCAAGGTCGAAGGGGGCACCTGGCCCTTTAAACAGTCGCCCCCATGGGTCGGACGGCTCAGCTGAGACATTTCTCGCGTTTCCCTCTTGGGGGCAAGGGTCGGTCCGTCACTGGTGATGCTCTGGGCTTCCTTCAATGGCTGTCTCCGCCTGAGACCCGCCCCCCCCATGTGGCTCGTTGCTTCTGCCCACCCCCCCCACCACCCCCCGTCCACACGCCCAGGGACTTCCCTGAAACGTCTTCTGGGTGGACGCCTGCACCTAGCCCCTCCCTGGAGGAGGCTGTCGAGGCGAGGCAGCCCGAGCCCCGCAGCTGCCCCAAGTCCCCACGCAGGGGAGGCCAGCAGCCACAGGTCTGCTGGGACTGTGAACTCCGCCCCCGCCCCCACGGCACTGCAGGCTGACCTGTGACCTAACCCGTGGGAGCTTCTGGCTGCCGTCTGGCAGGACGGGGATTCGCTAGAGAGCTCCTTCTCCCGGGAAGGGTTTCTCCCACGACGACCCCGCAGCCAGTGCGCCTCCCGCGACCCCGGACGCACCCGCTGCGGCTCCCAGTCCCACGGGCGCCAACCGCTCAGGTCCACGCACTCATCCCTGTTGCTGTCAGGTCTTCGGGTCCTGCACACCGGTTATTCCCCCCCCCCCCCCCCACCCCACAGTGCCGGCCGGGGCCCTGGGCTCCCGGGGAGCCTGGGAGAACCAGTGCAGCTGAGTGAGGTGAGGGGCCGCAGCCTGCCCCTGGGCTGACGGCTGAGCCCCGACCTGCCCCCCGCCCTGGGGAGGTCCGGCTCTGGGGACAGCGGGAGGCCCCAGGCACCCCCGGCAGAGCTGAGAAGCCAGGAGAATTCGTATCGTGCTGTTGACTAAACTCTCCCCGGAAGAGCAACCGAAGGAAGTTTGCGGAACTTTCTCTTAAATGCAGTCTCCTGGAGTCCTGAGATGGGAACGCACTGGCTTCAGAGAATTCATTGACTCGTCAACGGCGGGACACGGGGAACCCAGTGGGCCCCTGGCACCGGGGGGCGGAGCTCCCGAAACGGGCCCCCCACCCCCGACCGCGGGGGAAACGCTCCACCCTCTTCAGCCTCGTCCGAGCTGCTGGTCTCCCGGGGCGACGGCGTCCTCTGACCGCACGGGCCGCGTCATCCAAGCACGCGGACTCCGGAGGGTCGCCGACCTCGAGGGGAGCTCGCGGTTAACTCGCGTCCCTCGCTGCGGGGCGGTGGCCCCCAGACCCCGAGCCGCCCTTCTCTCTGCAGGCAGCGTGGGCTGGAGTCCCGGCGTCCGACAGGCCTCGTGAGCGTCGGGGGGCTGAGGCTGGGGCGCACCCTGGCTCTCCGAGTCGGCAGGGTCCCCGGGACCCACACAACCACCCCGCACACGGGCGGCGCCGTGCAGGAAGCCCCCACCGCGGCCTCGACCCGACCTGGCCTGGCCACCCCTAATGCGCACGGCGAGAGGGGAGCCTCATCTGAGCTATTTTTTAAAACTGATTTTGTTTTTATTTCGTGTTGAAAATCCAGTGTCCCAGATGTGGACTCTGAGGCCACACTCTGCAAGCACCGCAGACTCTCCAGAGAGAAGTCAGTGGAGTTTGACCGACATCTTGGCGTGCGCTTTCCCGGCCACATGGTCCGAGGAGACAGCTCACTAGGGGCATCACGGAGGCCAGGGGGAGGGGTCAGTAGTCCTGTTTGTTCGCGGGTCGGTAGTTTCTATGGGCCGGCCTGTGCTCCTGGTCACTGCCCACTTCTCTGTAAGCCGTGAGACAGGGCAGAGTGGGCTGGAAAGCGAAGGGACGGTTGCTGCCCAGAGGACACACGTGCAGGCACATCCCTCCCGGGAACAAACGCCCCTGGTTGCCCTGTGCCAGGCGAGCGAACGCTGCCTGTGAGAGGCCCCCGCGCGCGAGGACACCGTCGCCCGGGGAGACCAGCAGCTCGTCTGGGCCCCCCAGGGGTGGGGTTGGCGCCGGCAGACGAACCTTTTCTCGCTCATTCGCGGCGGCTCAGGGGGGACCTCGCCCTCGACTAAGAGGGGGTGGGGGGCGTCCACGGGGAGCCAGGCCGGGACCGGCTCCCTGGGACCGTGACTGCTGCTGCCACGTGGGGGCGTGGGCGGGAGGCACCCGGCACGTGTGTTCCCCTCGGGGGGGCCATCGAGTTCGAGGACCCTGAGTGGGGATCGGTCCGCCGAGGCTTCCTGGCAGCCGGCCTTGCTGGGGACGGCGGGGGGAGGGGGGCGGAACTAAGTCGGATTTAGTCCTCGTTCTTTTGTGAATAACCCCCCCCATGAGTGGGGCCGCCGGGCCGCCAGCCTCCTCGCAAACCGAGGAAGTTGGCCGCGGAGTCTCTCCTGCGCGGAGCTCCGTGCGCGCCCCTACTGCGGGCGGAGCGCGCCCCCCACGTCCGTGTACCAAAGTTCACTCCCAAGGGGCGGGGAGGAGGAGGGCCGGCCCGTGGGGTGCTCGCGCCGGCAGGGCAGAGCCCTCGTGGGGGGAATCGGTGCCCTGCGCCAGAGGCTCCGGTAGGGCCCCGGCCCCCCCACCCCCACCCCCACCCCCACCCCCACCCCATCGTGGCCTGGGAGCGGCCCCGCCTGCCCGGCCCGGCGCCCCGGCCGCGGCCTGGCCTCCAGGGGGCGCTGTGGGAGCGCGCGGCCGGCCGTGCGGTCACCGCCGACGGGGCGGACAGACACCCGCCCACCCCCGCCGGCCCCCGACGGAGTTCCTGGTCTCCGAGCTCACAGCGCGGTGGTGGTTCATCTTCTGGAGACGCCGTCTGGGTGCCCACCGCGGGCCAGACTCTGGTTCAGGGTCCGGGAACGTGGTGGCCAGCGGAACAGACCCATGGTCTCCCCTCCAGGAGCCCACCTTCTGGAACTTCCTGAGGCTGGACCGAGTCCTGGCTCTTCCACGGCCAGTTCTGCTCACTTGGGCAGGTTCTGGCGGGGGCCGCGCCCCACTCCTCACCGCACGGTGGGCGGGGGCCCTGTCGGCGCGCACCCCGCGGGCCGTGGGAGGACGAGAGGGGGTGGTGCGCGGGCCGTGCCCGGAGCAGGGCGTGGCCCCGAGTCAGGGCCGTGCGGGCGGCCATGCCCGCGGTCATCCTGGGCCTGCCCTCACGCGCTTTCCTTCCCCCGAGGTGCTTGTCCCCGCGTTTCTCGGGGACCCGAGGGCGCCGGGGCACCAGGAAATGAGGGCCCGCTCGGAAAACGCGCGTCAGTGGGTGACAGCGGCAGTGGGCGCCCAGGGCCCCGGGGGCCGGCACCGGATGGGCGCGGGGGCACGGGGGCAGGACCGCCCGGCGTGGGGCCGGGGGACGCGTGGGGGGCACGCAGGGGGCCGGCCGCCGCCTCTCCCGTGTCTGTTCTCAGAGGGCGGCACTGGCGTCCTCCCGCCCCCGCCTGCCCGTCTCCTGCCGCGACAGAACTTTCTGGTGCGAGCAGACGAGCGGAGTCACCGCAGAGGGTTCCTCCGACGCGCCCGACGCCCCCCTGCGCGTCCCCGTGTCCTGTCGGCCTTGCAAGCGGCTTCCCGGCTTCCGACGAGTGTCGCGATGAGTCCCCAGCTGGGGGTCGCGCGGCTCTCGTCGCAGCACCGACTTCTGAGCCGTCCAAGCTCCGCTGGCCAAGCAGCTGGTGTCATTGTCCTCACACCCCTTGTCGGGGGAGGAACAGTCACCGCGCTTTTTCACGCTCACGGAATCAGTGACAGATTTCTTAAAACGAAAAAAACGTGTGAAGGTCACCTGCTTAACGCAGACAAAAACCAAATCCTACCTCTTTTTAAACCATATTCTGCTTTTTTGTAAACCTCCTGGTGCAGTTCACTCTCAAAGGAGTTTTTGTCAATGATTGTTGGAACCGAACTTCCTGCGCAGGTGAGGCCTGTTGGGTGAGCTGCTGCTCCTGCTGCTGCTGCTGCTGCGCCAGGAAAGCGCCCCGTCTCTTGCCCCTGGTGTTTCCTTTCTGCTTCAACAGTCGTCCGAGGTCGTGCCCACTCAGCCCTTGGGGACGGCTTTGTTTTTGGCACCTCGGGTCTCTCGACAAAGGCGTATTTACAGTTTCTTTTGGCTACAGCGGCTGTCCGCCCCCTCCCCCCCCCGCGTTTGTCACCGTCCCCTCCTCAGGAAGGTTCCCGCCCGTCTGTCACCGACCACGCGTGTGGCTCTGAGCGGACGGTGCGGGCTGTGTTCTCCCCACACGCGAAGTGCAGGGCTGAGCCGCGGGGCCTCGGAGGTGGGGTGCGGCCCCAGCCCTCCCCGGTCTGCTGAAACCCCCTTTCACCCGCGGGAGCGGCAGGATCTGAGACTCGGCGTTACCAGCACGAGGGTCGTCCCACACGCTGGGCGGAGACCCGGGCGCTGAGACCGGGGGCTCGAACGTGGTTCCCGCGCCGGGCCGCGGCCGTGCCAGGGCCGGTGCAGCATCGGATGGGGGCCCCCGGGATGACCTTGGTGCCACTTCTCCAAACAAACTCCCGCGGGGACACCCCGCCGGTCCTGGTGTGGTCGCGTCAAGCGCGGACCAGAACGGACGCAGCTTCGGTGCTCACGGCCCCTGGCGGCCCGCCTTCCCGGAGAAGGTCTTTATTCTGGGCGTTCCGAGCACGAGCGATCCATTCGTGGGCCTCAGACGGGGTTCAGTTTTGGTTTTTTGTCGTTTGTTTGTTTCTGGCCTAGCGGCGAGGGGGGGTACGGGAGACGCTGCGATGCCGACCTGGGGCTGCGTGGTGGGTGCGCGGCGCGGAGGGACCAGAGGAACGGCTGCGCGCCGGCCCGGGGGCGCACGGCTCCCCAGCGACCCGCCTGCGCCATTAAAACGTTCCCGCGGCAAAGCAGACGCGCTCCGTCCGCACGCCCCGCCCCCAGCACGCGGTCTCCGCCGAGGGGACCCGTGGGTGTCCTACCTTGAAGAAGGTCATGGTGGAGCCGTCCCGCACCGCCCCGTACTCGATCCTGGTCTGCTTCGCCAGGTCGTCCGCGGAGTCGATGGGCGACTCCATCCTCTCCACCGTCAGGAAGGCGGCCAGGTTGGCCGTGTAGGACGAGATGACGATGAGGGTGAAGAACCACCAGATGGCCCCGACGATCCTGGTGGACAGGGCCCTGGGCATCAGCTCCGACCCTGCGGGGGTCACAGAGCAGGGGTCAGACGGGGCGGGCGGGGAAGGGAAGGCGCGGCGCGACCGAGTCTGGGGGGACAGTGCGCTTTCGTGGCCTCGAGACTGTGGATCCACCAGGGACTCGCTCCCCGGGGTGCAGGTAAAATGGGAGCATTTTTGTTTTTAGGAAAATGAAGCTCAGTCTGCACGATCTTTTATCATCAGTCCCTGCTCTGCCTCAAGCGCAGCGTGCTGACACCGGCGGTTCCAACCCTGAGATAATCGGGTCCCCAGTTTGTGGAGGTAATTTAGCCGCTTCGTCCTGGCCGACAAGCTGATCCCCACTCCCGGCCTGTCATCGCTGCCGGGCGCACATCCTCGCTGGAGGGACAGGGCTCCGGCCTCGGCAGGACCGCGCCGGCTTCGCCGCGCTGCCGGTTCCGTTTCCGGTGGTGAACGGAGGGAGAGCTGTCCCGCAGGCGAGCGTGTCCCGCCGTCCCCCGTGCGCGCACCTCCGCCGAACACTGGGGCCTCGCAAACGCGGTGAGAGAGGGTGCAGGTGGACTCGGGAGCCGATGAGGTGATTTTTACTGTTTTATGTTATTTTATAGTCAAAATTAGTTTTTCTAATGTAGATGATTTGAGTGGAAAATATATTCACTGAAAAGGCGTAGTTTTGTCCTTAAAGTATTACTTCTCAGTTATACTTCAAAGACTGGCCGTTTCCCAGGTGAAAGAGCCCTTCCTGGTAAAGGCGCAGATTTTGGAGACCTCAGGTGACTCCCGATTTTTTTTTGCAAAAGGACCAACAGAGGCACGTAAAGTGCTTACCCAGAAAGCCTTTCTCTGGGAAGACAGGGTGTGAGCCTAGGCTCCCAGAGGGGACAGGCAGCTGCGATGATTCTCGAGCTCCAAACCTGTGGTCAGACGGGGCTGCGGGGCCTCGCTAACCCAGGAGGAGATTTACGAAGGGTGGGGGGGTGGGGGGCGCAGAGCTCGCTCCAGTGATCCCCGGGCATGCGGGGGGCATTTCTGGCTCCTCCACTCGCCTGGGACTCCCATTGGTCCGGTGCTTCGAGTTCCCCCTGGACCTACAGGCAGAGCAGCGTTTCCGGGACCATTTAAAACACTCAGAGTTTAAGAACCCAGAGGGGTAAGCACGGCAGGTGGAGCGTCTGATCTGAAGAATTCTTTCACTGTTCCGATCGTGTGTTTCAGGGTCTCGTCGTCAATGGTTTAAGAGAGGGGAGGAGGTCGGAGTGTAGCTTTCTGCCGATAAACGAGTTCACGCTCACGTTCAGTCTACAGACACAGACACACACATCTTGCTCGTGAAATCAGGAGCAGCCCCGGGCCCTTGGTGAGCAGGTGGAGGAGGACAGAGGCTCTGAATTCACGGGTGTGTTCTCGCGCTGTGAGTGGGGTTCGAGCCGCGCTCTCTTTCACGAGGTGAGAGGCTTCCCTGCGCTTCTGTCCCCTCCTTGGCTGTTCTGCGGTTTGGATTGGGTGTGTGCGCGTCACTGAGATTCAGAACAGTTTCCACTGAGCTGCCCCCGAGGCTTGGGTGAGAGAGTTTGTTCCTGTTGTTTTAATCTTGCGGTTCAGTGGGATTCATGGGCCTGGGGGGGGGGTGTTTACCACCCAGGGCCGCCGCCTGTCCCCCACCTAAGTGATCCAGCAGCCTCGTGGGTGCGAGACTCCTTGAGATCTGCCGTCAGCTATCATTGAAGGGCCATGTGTTTCATAGAACAGCCACGGGATGGAGTAGCAGAGGTGACAGATGCATTTTCTCAGCTTATAGGTGTGGGTTTCCTGCGGCAACTTCACCCTCATGCTGTTCGCATGGGGTTATAACACGGTAAGGTTTAGGGTTACTACTCGTGTAGCTCCTAGCACTATATGGACAGTAAAACTGGACAGATGGACGGATAGCCAACTGGCATAACAGAAATAATATGAACTCTCATCTACCACACTTAAAATAGTACGTTTGCACTTTTGGTTAAAACTGTCTTGGGAATGTAAAAGTAATGGCCATTCAGATACAGTTTTTGCCCTTGGTACAGGGGGTGCATTACATTTCTGGACATTTCATCGTGTTCCTTATTTTCACCCATTTTTTGACTTCCGTGACTCTTAACATCCACTGACGCGCTCAGGAGCGGCTTCCCCAGTGGGGACGGTTTGTCTGCATTCAGAGCTCGGGAGGGCGAAGTTACGGGGACAGTGAACGCTGAGTGGAAGGTCGCTGGAAAGTACCCGGGTCTGGAGACGGCACTCGCTGTCTCTGTGGGGGGTGCTGGCGTCACAGCCGCCCCTGGCACAGACGTCGCCCAGGCTCCGACCCTCCAGCTCAGTCAGAAATGGAAGGGGCGGTCCGCCCACGGAGGACAGGGACGGGCTCTGCCAGCAGGGGGCAGCGCAGCAGGGGGTGCAGGGTGCGCTGGCCGCCCCGCACCGCGCGTGGGGACAGACGGGCCGGCCCGGCCCCGTGCTGTGCACACGAGGACAGACGGACCAGCAGTCGCCAGCACCGCCCGTGTCCCACGGCGGAGTCTGGGTCGCCTGGTAACGTGTCTCCGCCTCTGGAGGAACAAGCAGAGCCTGGCTGCGGCTGACTGCCGTGCGCCCAAGGTATCGGTCTCCGGCGGGCCCTGGGCGCCGCGGTTTGCGGTGGGTGGCGGTAGACTCCAGACAGGTGGGAGCGGGAAGAGGCGTTCTGGGGGCGGGCGCCCGTGTGGGACGGGGCGGTCACAGTGCTCTGCGCACTCGGGGACGCCCCGGCTGTGATTTTCTACCCGGTGGCGCGGGCGACCCGCGGAGGGAGGGGGCGGCCCCCTTCACACCCCGAAAGCCACTGCGTTCTAGACAAAGGCCCGGAAAGCAGGCGCGCGGGCGCCGCGGTGTGCGGCTTCCAGCGGGGTTTCCGGCGGGATCCGTGGCCCTGCTCCCCGCCGTCGCGCACGCGCCCTCTGGGAACCCGGGGGCGGGGTCCGCGCCTGCCCGGCCGCGCCTGCGTGAACTCAGCTGCGCTGCAGGGCAAGACTTGGTGCTTCCGCACCAGAGCCACTCGTTCCCCCTCTGGCTCGCACACGTGCGACACGCACATCTCAAGTCGTGTAACAGCCCCGCACGGCCCAGCCCCAGCCACACGCGGGCAGCACCCACCCCGCCCGAGTGCCCCGCCGCCACGTCCCTCGCGGCACACGGCCAGCTCCGCGGATGCTCGCGCCGGGGCGCACTGCGACTTTCTCAGGTGAATGCGTTTCACGGGGGGCGGGGGGGGGGTTCTACACTGGACGCTTGTGACTGAAGCGGAGGAAAATCTGTAAAACGGCTGGATTTCTCCAAAGCTTAACGGAGCTCACTCCCGCCTGCTCAATGCAATCCCCCCCCCCACGCTATCCAGTGTGTGAAATCTAGTGCATTCACTTCTGTGGCTGGAGCCCGAGCCCCTGTCCCCCGCACTTTCCCGTCGCTGTGGTCATGGGGGGGGCGTGTGGGGGGAGCTGGTGGGCAGCGGCCTGGGAGCCTGGACGAGTCCCAGCAGGGCTGGCCGCAGCGGTCAGCAGCTGACGGCTCAGGAAGAGTGCGGCCAGCTCCACTCGCAGAGGACCCCGGTTGCACTCCGTGGGGTGGACAGGAAAAGAGGCGGCCTCCCCCTGCGCGGGCCTGTGCGCAGTTTCCCAGGCACCTGAGGTCCGCTCCCCCTGCCCCTCCCCCCGGGAAAGCTCGTGTTCGCTGCCTGATGGCAGCCTCACCCCACACACCCAGCAGACCGGTCCCACCGAGGCCCCTTTTCTGACTCTGCCACGTGTGGGACGGTTCTGCATTCCTGGGGTGGCCTGGCCCTCTGCCCCCCGGTGGAGCTGACCAGCACGAGGGGCCGTCTGTCCCCAGACCGTGGGGCGGGGCGGGGCGGGGCGGGGCGGCGCGGGGCGCGGGGTGTGGGGCAGGGTATGGTGGGCGGCCGGAGTACCTTGCTGCAGGAGAGCCCCGACTCCGAACCAGAAGCTGTTCAGCAGCGTGAAGCGGTTCTCCACCACGTCCGGGTCGGGGCTGCAGGGGTGCGGGCTGTGCCACTCGTAGGGGGTGAACCTGCGGCAGCCAACAGAGACAGCCGGTCAGCGTCAGGGGGGGACCCCACCGGGCGGTGCGGAGCAGAGCGCCCAGCAGTCACCGCGGAGGGCCCCGGGCCCGGACTGCAGGCCACGGTCGCAGACGAGGGGCTTTGGCGGGGAAACTGGGAGGGGGCCCCAGACGCGACATTCACCAAACTTCTCACTCCTAGGCCCTCAGATCTCTGTGTCCCGGATTCCACAGAGTCATGGCTCGCTTTCATTTCACCGGGCGGCTAACGGACAGTGGAGAAAGGGTCACTCATCCCGAGTGTTTACCCCTCAGCGGGCGAAGCCAACGACACCTCTCGTTGCCCCTCCCTCCGCGTCGAGACACCTGCTGGGGGAGGCGCGAGCACGAGGGGTGGCGGCCCCCACGGGCACCTGCGGGCGCAAGCCTGACAGGGGCATCTGTGGCCTAGCGAGCTCCTGGGGCGTCCGGGGAGCCGCAAGGCTGGGCAGAGTCACCGGAGAGAAGGCTGGAGGTCGGAGCACCAGCATTCGGGGGCCGGCTGGGGAAACGAAGATCAGGACCCCTAAACGAGGAGACAGGCTCGCACTTCGGAGTGTGTCCGCCGGACGCAGGGTCGTCACGGCCAACCCCACAGTCCCAGGCCGCTCGTCCTCGTTTCCACGTCGGCTGTCCCGGGGACTTGCTGTGGCCGCCCGCGGGCCAGCCCCGGGCAGGACGTCGGGCCTCAGTCTGCTCGTCAGTGAGGAAGGGGGAGTCCAGGCACTCACGACGCATGTTGAAATAAAACCTGGGGAACTTCACAGGGTCTTTCTCCATTTCCTGAGCATCTGTCTGACTTCGACAGCCCAGAGAACGTCCCTGCTCCGTGGTGGTTTTGGGGTCGTCTTGCCCGGGGCACTTGTTTCCCCAGAGAGACGTCAGCAGATGCTCCACAGAGTGAGCCATGCGGGGATGACCTAGAACTCGGTCTGCAGCGCAGGCAGCTCAGCCCCCTGCCGCTGTGTCCCTGACCCACGAGCAGGTGCCCTGGAGCAACGCCGACATGCCCCCACGCCCAGGGGGACCACCGCGTGTGCTGCAGCCGCAAGGGGAACGGTAACCCTTGTCGGCAGCCAGAGGCGGGCGCGCTGGGGGGCCCGGACAAGGACACTGCAGAGGGTCCCCCCAGTGTGCAGCCACCGCCCCTGGCTCCTCCCAGAGGCGCAGCCGCTCCTCTCCGGGTTGGGGGGGGGGGGGGAGCAGGCCTGGGCTTCTCCCGCAGCAATGGGACCCGCCCCTGTCCCTCCCCCACGGCTGCAGCGCACGGGGGAGGCTCCCGTGAAGCTCAGGCCACGCCACGCCCGTGCGTGTTAATGACTGTTTCAGCAACGTTAACTACGTTGTGAATTTGCATGCCCTTGTGAGCACACCAGTTGGCTGAGCTGGAGAGACGAATACCAGTGCTAACGACCCTGCTAATTGCTGCGACGTGCAGAGCGAAGATGCCGCCACTCAGACTCCGCCGCCGCTGCCTGCGCGATCGTTTAAACACGGTCATTGTGACGGATTGGAGGCTCCCGCGGTCAAGAGCAGCGGGCTTCCTGAGCGCACCTGCCGGCACCCTCGCGTTCCCGCCCCGACCGGCAGCCCCGGCCGGCAGCCCCGGCCGGCGGGCTCACCACTGTGCTCGCGGGGCGCTGCTGTGAGCGTGGCCTTTGTCAGCGTTCCGCACTTCGCAGTCGGGAGCACACAGCTTGTCTGGTTTTCAGAGGCTCAGGGGACAGCCGTCCGAACAGCAGCGCGGTCCCGCCTGCCCCGCAGAGATCGAGGGCTCTCTCTCTCTCCGGGACTCTCGAGGGGCTTGTGGTACGTGTGGGCCGAGGGGTTTTAAATGGCCACGGAATGCTGTCCTTTAAGATGTGGGTTTCTCCTTTGCAAAGCGCCTGCCTGGGGCCTGGACGCGAGCATCTGGAAATCCCTCACGTCTGCAGGGAGGCGGGCGGCGGCGGAGAGTGTGGGGGGAGGGCCACGCACGCCCTTCCCGAGACCCCGTGGGTCCTGGCCCCGGTGAAACAACAGAGAAGGGGACGCCAGCGCTCAGGATCTGTGGGCACTGCGTAAGAAGGAGCCGCGTTGCGTTGGAGTGTGGGGACTCACTGTGCGTGTGCGTTCACAGGAGCCCGCTGCACGGAAGCTACAAAACGGTGACCGCGCCGAGGGACCTCCGGCGAGGAGCCCCCATGACGGCCGAGGCCGGGAAGCAGGTGTCCAGGGGGACAGGGCGCCGCCGCCCGTCTCTCAAAGGAGAGGAAGCTCTGACTCCCGAGGACACGGCTGAGCTCCGCTACAGCCTTGGCCTTGCAGGCCGAGGGTTTCTTGTTTTCTTGTTCTGGCCAGGGGTCAACTTAGAACTGTTTATCTTTAAGGAGACAAACGTCACATGGTATAAATCATAAGCCGGCAGTGTATCTGCATTTTTAGTCCATTTAAATTGTTTGTTCACGGTAGACACAATTTCTGGCCTTAAATAGTTTTCAAGAGACAGTGTGAAAAGACATCCAGCCCGGAGCAGACCGCTGACTGGCCCCGTGCCGAGACAGGGCACCCGGGATGCCATAGGGCTGCGGTCAGTTTGGGCCCTGGGGGCCGCACGTCACAGGTTCAGCTCAGTTTGGGAACGATTTCTGGGCGTCTGTCTGAGAGCCCGCTGGCCCGCGCGCAGGGACAGGATTTATTTCCCCGGAAAGGGCAGGTGGGCGGAGCCTCTCTGGGCAGAAAGGTGGTCCCGAGGCAGCTTCCCACCTCGGCGTCACCACTGGGGCCGGGGGACCCTCCGCACTTGGTGGGTGCCGCTGAGGGGCTTTCCGCACTGGCTGCTGCGGGGTCCTGGGGCCAGCAGCGGGGGTCCTCCCCTCGCCAGTTCGGCTGGGTGGGCTGCTTGCCTCTTGGCGGCCCTGAGGGCGTCGCTGACTGTCCCTCGAACCCTCACCCCCCAGGGTGGGGTCGGCACAGAGACAGGGAGCGAGAGGCAGCCCACGATCTCTGTGCACTGTCAGAGGGGAGGGTCGTCACCTCCCGCCGTCACTTCTAGGGCCGCACGGACCTCATCCCGGGGCCAGTAAGGAGGCGTGAGCGCCCGCGGGGAGCCACCGGCCTGTCACTGGAAGTCTGACATTCAGAACCACGTCTTCCGCTGCTGACAGCACGGCGTCCGGGCACTGGGGGGTCACTCTGGGTTGTGGGGCGCACCGTCCAGTGCCACAGGGTGGGGAGCAGCTTCCCTGGGTGCCACCCACGGACACCAGGACCCGCCTCGCCCACAGGTGTGACCACCACAATGTGGTTCCGGAACACGGCCAGCTGTTTCCCCGGAGACAGACCCTCTCCTCGATGAGAGCCATTGACTCAGAGTCTCGGCCTTCAGACGGTGTCATTGCTGTGTCACTGTCACCGGGTCACGTCCCGAGAGGAGGCGGTGGGAGTGGAGCTTTGGTCTTCCTGCAGACGGCCTCAGCATGTGGCTGGACCCGGGACATGGTCTGGGGTCGGGCGCCGGCGCGCTGTGACGGGCGTGGAGAGGAACTCGGGGTGCGTGCACACACACCCAGGAGCAGCCCGCCCCCCCCCCCGCCCCATCTCGCTGGTTCACCTGCGTCTGCCCGCCCTCCGCCCTGGGTTGTTTCTCTAGCCTTTCTTCCTAATCGCACCGGGGAGAGGGCTACCTGGCATTAATCAGAACCAGACAGTGAACAGTGGTATGGGGCGAGCATGAGAAACACGTCTCCCAGACATTCCTGGAGGGAGAACAAAAATTGATCAGGGAGAAGTTCACTGAGCTCCGTTGGAAGATGAAAAAGACGGAAAACGAGTAGGGGACACACAAAAGCAATTTCTGTTTTTTACATGGTTTATCTGCGGGCGTTGAATGTGAAACTCAGCAGAAAGATTAAGCAGCCGCCTTAAATTCGGCGTCGGAGGCACTGAGAAAACACGGTCTCCTGAGAGGAGGCATCAGGCCCTGGAGGAGCTGCGAGGAGCAGGGTGGCTGCACCCACCCTCAGAGCAGGGTGGCCCGCGCAGCGCCGCCGCGGGGAGTGGGGCTGCGGGCCGCCCGGCTCTGAGCGGAAGGGGCCCCGTCCTGGTCACCTCCGGGGTCCCCTCGCCTCTCTGGTGCTTTTCAAGTAGAGGTGACAAACATTGCAGAGCGTTTTTCTCTGTTCCCGAGCATTTCACAGCTTGAGTCCAGGGGTCCTTACTCGCTACAACAGTCCCCAGCCAACTTGTTTCTGCTTTGCTGGGTAGAGTACTCCGGGGCTCGGCCGCATGGGCACGGCTGTGCTCTTCTTGCCGGAACGTTTCAGGTCCATTAGTGGAGCCAGCGCCTCTGCTGTGACCTAACCCAGCACGGGACATGCACAAATCACCATTCTATCTTGCCTCAAATGCTGGTGCAGTTTGTGTAAAACCATCTCCTTATTGTCTTTTAAAGGCACCTTTGTGGAGAGCTAGAAGGTGTCCGCTCACAGAGGGGCTTTGGTGAGCGGGGGCCGACAGGACAGGGCAGAGCAGAGCACCGGGCAAGGCCGAAAGGCCACCTCCGAGTCCTCAGCCCGCGTCGGCCTCGCGAGCACATGGGCCGCCCGGAGACCGGCTGTGCTCTGCAGCGCGCGCACTCACCTCGCGATCACGAAGAGCACGCAGCTGACCCCCAGGCAGGCCAGGAGCACGTACACCCAGACGTCCGGAGACAGGGGGCTGAGGAAGGAGAAGACGCCCGGGTTGGTGCTGTTGGGCTTCCGGTAGAGGATGCCGATGCCCAGCGTCATGAAGGGCTTGGAGAAGTCGATGGCGGTCTCCCGCACGTACGTGATGGTCAGAGGAGCCACCGCCAGGTCTGCCCTCTGCAAGAGCAAGTTCGAGGTCACGGCCTCGGAGTCCGGCCTCCCGGCAGGAGCCTGGCCTGACCCTGGCTCCTCCCGAGCCTTCGCCTCAACGCCAGCCACGCCTCCTGGCGAGCAGCCCCCGTGAGAACGGCTCTGTTGGAGCAAAGGCCGGTTCACGCGGTTGTGTTTATGAGCGTGTGTCTGCAGGGGACAGAGCCTAGAGGGACGGAATGCATGCATGCATGCAGACAGACAGACAGACAGACCCAGACGTGCAAACATCCTGGGACGAAGGGAATGAGAAAGCGGCAGAACGGACTGTCCTACGAGAGCACCCGAGGGAGGTGGGGACAGGCAGCCCGGCCGCCACACCCATCAGCTGATGGGACGAGGCTGCCCTGAGCCGCAGACTCGGGGTCCTTTCTGTGGCCCGGAGTCGCTGGACGTTGTCCCCGCGGGAAGGACGGCCTCCACCTGCTTGTCCTCTGTCTCTGTCCTCACCGGCCCCCCTGAGCGAGCAGACGCCGTGTCCAGGCTGCCTCCTCCTCCTCCCTTGAAGCCAACGCCTCGACCCAGAGGAGCCCAGGTGTTTCTTCGGACCTGATGCCACTGCTCCCTCACCTTTCACTGCCCAGCGTGCACCTCTCCGGCCCCGCGCCCACCCGCAGGGGCGGCCCGCCTGCTCACGTGGTCTATGAGCTCCTTGACCATCCCGTTCCACTCTCCCCGGTCGTCCTGGGCCCCGTATTTGCCGTCGGGGACGAGCTTGATGTCGTAGAGGAAGCCCAGAATGCTGGACAGCTCCTTCAGAAGGTCCAGGCAGTACCCTTCGAACCGGTCGTTCCCGTGCAGGGGCGTGTCCGACTTCCTGAACATCACGTAGGGCTCCTCCTGCGCCAGACGGACCCCGCGGGAGCGCCCGTGGGGCGGAGGCAGGGTCACTCCCGCCAGCGCCGGCCGTGCACCGCGGGAGCGGTGACGCGCGGACAGTGAGCGCCCGGGTCGGGGCCCCCCTTCCCGCCACTGCTGGGCCCTGAGCAAACGGTGTGCCAGAGACTCGGGCTGGCCCGGGGGCGGGGGACAGGTGTCTGAATGTCTGTCTGGACACAGCTGTCCCCACACCCAGGCTGCTCTGTGTGACCCGCCCTCCTGCGCAGCTTCTGTCTGAGGAGAGCTTCACCTGCTGACAAGAGGGGAAGCTAAACCGGTATAGTAGGGAGTTTGAAGAACTGCGGAATATTCTCGCTTCCTTACCTCTCAGCTAAGTCTCACCTCAGACTCACTCTTTGCTTTCCCATCTGCCTCCTTCTGCTTGGCTTCCTGCCGGCTGTCTTACCCAAGGGCTATTTCCCTGTTGTTTTTATCATCAGCTTCATTTGATTAACCGAGCGCACCCGAGATCTCACAGCTGACAATTCTTTGCTCGTATGCTTAAATGATAAATCTTCTATTTCATGACTGGTGGGCCCTTTCTTATTACCACGCATGATGTAACCTTACTTCTCATCTGACTGAAGTTTGTCTTATTTTACACAAGTCTACCAGTTGCCATACCACTGGCAGGCCCTCTTACTTCCTCCCGTTCACTATGCATCTCCTCAGGCATCCGTGACCGGTTCGGGTCTGTCCCCGAACGGACAGAAGGGGAACGGGTTTCCCTGGGACAGTGGGGAGAGATGGCTTTCCTGCGGGCGAACCAGGGGCCGGGGCTGGCGATTTCTGGAACAAACTGGCCTGACGCCAGGGGCCGAGCCGCCCACGGCGCGGACGTCGGGGACTGCGGGTTTCAGGCGGGGCCGCAGGGGTCCCCCAGCGCGCACAGCGGCCGCCAGGTGTGCGGTCGGGGCTCCCCCGGGAAGCCGGAGGCCCCCGCTAACCGGGCGGCAGAAGAGTGGGGGAGCACGGGGCTGTTCACCGAGGAGCGGCGGCGGTGAGACCAGAGGCCGGGGACCGGCCGGACCGGGGAGCGGCACCGCTCTGGCGGGGGTGACGGCGGCGAGCGGCTCCCGGCGCCCAGACACCTGCGCGGAAGCTGGGCCCCGGCAGGGACAGGGGCCGAGGTCGGGACGAGTCTGACCGCGCGGGTGGGAGCAGCGGAAGGAGTCCCCTCCGCCTCTCTCCGCCCCACGCTCCCAGCCTCTCTCAGCTGAGCGCCTGGGGGTCGGAGCCCGCGGGGCGGAGGGGCGGGCGGAGGGGCGGGACGTGCGGGGTTTCAGGGGCGCGCACGCGGCCTCCGGTGTCCGGACAGCGCTCCACCTGCGCGCGCGGACCGTCCGCGCGGACAGGACAGACGGCGGAGGAGCCCTCGAGGTCTCCGCGGGGGTGCGGGTGCGGGCGCTCCCGACCACACGCCCGGGGTTCCGCGCGGCCGGCTTACCAGGATGGTGGTGACGACGAGCGTCCTGTTGGCCAGCGCGTCGGTGACGCTGTGGGGCCCGTCCCTGCGGCCGTCCGTCATGTTGAGCCCGCGGTTGGAGTTCCACACCCCGACCTGCGCGGAGCACAGCGGTCAGAGGCCGCGGGCTGCAGGGCGGCGCCCGCTCTCAGGAGCGGCCCCAGGTCCCGGGGAGGGGCCGGGCGCGCAGAGTCCGGGGCCAGGACCCCGGGGCGCCGCGGCGCGAGCTGCTCAGGGCGGGAGACGAAACGAGGAGCCGCGGAGCGTGCAGACGGCACAGGGAGCGCCTGGGCTGCTGGGGTGGAGCCTGGGGGGTCGTTTTGTTGTGAGTTTATGAAACATACTACTTTTAAGTGAAGAATCCTTTTAACCCCACGAGCATCGGATTTTCTTCCCACACGCACGTGGCGATCACCCGCTCACGGCCGGCACTGCGCTCGGCTTTGGGGGCGGAGGCAGTGGGCGCACCGGGCGGAAACGCGCCCTCGCAGTGCGCGCGGTCGATGGATAGGAAGCTCGCAGCGCCCAGGTGGGGCCCGCAGGGCCCTGCAGGGGCGTCCCGGGAGGGGGCGGCGGGTGGTGGGGGGAGGGGCGTCTGAAGAGGAACGGCAGGTGGAGGAGCCAGTGCTGGCAGGAGGGGCCTCCGGACGCTGGGGGGAGGGGGTCCGTGTGTCCTTCTGCTCCGGGCCTCTCCAGCTACTCCCGTGCACCTCCTGTCTTGTCCGTCCACTGGACCGTGGACTCCATCCGTGAGCGCACTCACGGTCACTGCTCACTGCTCTTGGCACCGCGGAGCCACCCCCGGCGACGGGCAGCCAGGGAAGCACAGTCTGTTTCAGGAGAGAGGGACCACAGTGCCCTCGGGGCGCCGTGTCCGCTGGGTGGAGGGGCTCACGGGCGGGCGCTGAGTCGCTTAGCCCTGGAGGGGCCCAGAGTCGGGCCTTGGGGCGGAGTGGCTGGCCCGCAGCTCCGGTCGGCCCTTCCTGCTGGCCCGGTGAGCCGGGACAGGACGGGCTCCTAGCCGGGTCGTCCGCCGGCCGGGGGACCTCGGGCAGGACGAGACCTCGGGGCTCCCTGAGCTGGGCCCCCTGCCCGGGAGGAGCGGTGCAGGGCAGGTGCAGGGCAGGTGCCGGCAGGTGCTCGGAGCCACACAGACGCGTCTCGGAGGACGGCCCGAGGCCACCCGGCAGTGTCCCCGGGCTCGCCCTGTTGTGGAAAGACGTGGATGTGTTTTTCTTAAGTTTAGAAGCAGGTAACACAGGGGAGGCATGAGGAGCAGGGGCCGGCTCTGGGGCGGGCAGGGCACGCCTGCACTGGTCCGAAGCCTGCCCTGGCAGCGGGGGCACAGGCGGCTGGCGGGGGACGGGGGGCTCCCAGAGACCCAGGTCCAGGCCCAGGCCCTGGCGTGGGGGTCTGCCAGCAGCGGGACCTCGGGGGGTGGGTGACTAGCCCTGACGGTTCAGTAAAGCAGCACCCGTGGGGACGCTGGGCCTCCTCTTCCCCCTCCCGGTTCTGGGCTTCGAGTTTCTGCCTAAACGCAGCGGCTGGGCGTTCACCCGGCTGGACAGACGGGACAGCAGGCTCCCCGCGGAGGCCTCCGGGACGCCCGCCCTGGCACAGCGGGCGAGCTGCTGGGGCGGCCAAAGAGCCCGTCACACTTTTCCCCATAAACTTGAGGACGCATTTTCACGTTCACCAACGGCTCTGTCGATCTGAGCACTTTGAGTGTGCTGGCCACCCCCCCCGCCCCCCTGTCGGCCTCCAGGGGCCGAGGCTGGGGGCTGCTCAGCATCTTCCGGCGGGCGAGACAGCCCGCAGCAGAGAGCGGTTTGGCGAGCACGTCAGCGGTGCCGAGAAACTCCGCAGACCACCTCTGGCGTGTCTGGTCCGTCCAGCACCTTCCCCGTGCACCGCGTGGCTCCTCCTTGGCGTTGGAGCTGTGTCTCCACCTCTCCCGATACAACCAGGTGTAGCAGGCCAACAAGGTCTTGGCGTACCTTCTCCCATCCTCGGCATTAAAGTGGCTGCACAAAAGTTCACCGAGTTTGATGTTGTTTTTTAAATGCACGCTGATACGACAGCTGTCGCAATACGACCTGACAAAACTGTTCTGAGTGGAAACTACGTGTCGCTGGAGCCGCCGTGCGGGAAAGCGGAGGGGACGCTTCGGCCGGCCAGGGTCTCAGTTTCCCGGTTCCCTTCCCTCCCCAGCAAGGGGCCGTGGGCGGAGGCCGTCCAGGTGGGCGGGGGCTGGAGACAGCTTTGGGCTGGAAAGTGCGGGGGCCTGCCCGTCCAGAGGTCACTGGGGTCGAGCTGGGAGGCGGGGCTGGCTGTGGGGAAGCCCTGTGGTCTCTGCAGGTGGGGACTCCCCCTTCCGGGACACGGACCTCAGGCCCGACAGCCGCTGGGCCCACGGGTTCCCCAGGCCCCGCTGTGGGTGTCGGGAGCGGCTGCTTCTAGCTCAGTAAAACGGGCGCGCACGTGGGTCCTGGCCCTTCTTCTGATCGAACCTTGACTCAGGCGCTGGGGGGACGGGGCCTAAGTGTTCGCTGAGCGTTGACAGGGAGGTGGAGACCTGACCCGGCCGCAGCCAGGTCACGGAGCAAGAGAGCGCGTTCTCTCGCCGCTTCTTCTCGACGCCCAGCGTGTGTTCAAGGGAACTGCACTGACCCTTACTTCACCGTGGCGACGGGGACACCTCCCAGGGCCGCTCGCCTCTGGGACTCGAGTGGAAGCCATGGGCAGGCGCGCCCCCAGCGGCACAGCGGCCCCCACGTCCGCCCGCAGCCCCGCCGAGGGCTGGAGGGCAGCCCCCCCTCCCCCGTGGCTGCGTCCCACTCCCCGGCCCGGGCCCCAGTGAGGACGGGTTTCCTCCACAGAGTGAGGAAAAGGGGTGTTTTTCCTGCCGTCGTGTGCCCGGGGTTCCCTCATGTCTGGACCACGAGGGTCTGGCCGCGGGCGGGCTGTCCCCGGGCCGTGGGCAGCGCACAGGCAGCGCCAGTGACCGCGGTCCTGCGCTCCGTCTTCCGTCTGTCGGCAGAGCGTGTGTGTGTGTCTGTGTGTGTGTGTCTGTGTGTCTCTGTGTGTGTGTGCATGTGTGTGCGTGTGTGTGCGTGTGCACGTGCTCAGCCGAGGCACCTAACTCTGTCTGCCGGGGAACGGGGGTGAGCGGGCACGTCACAGCCGGACGTCTCCTTCTGGGGAGGCAGGTCCCGCGGTCCGGGTGCGTTGGGAGGGGGGCGGGGAGGCTGCAGCTACCAGATGCCTGGACAGTTGGCCTCTGGGTCCTGTTCACGGGCCGCAGACACGTGTCTCCGGGAAGCGGAGCTGCAGTTCCAGAAAGCGCAGCGAAACCCGGCAGCAGGAACCCACCCGGGAGGGGGCGGGGGGGGGGGTGGGCAGGGGCAGCAGCCAGGTCTCTGTGGGGACAGACTCCAGGAGCTGTGCGGGTGGCCCTGTCTTTCTCTCCTCGACGGGCATGTGCTGCCCCAGGGGCCGGTTGTGGGCCGCGTGTCTGGGAGGGCCCGGGTGGCGTTAAGTGACACAGGTATGTTCGGGAGGGACCAGGGTCTCTCCTGCAAACCCAGCCCGTGGTTCACACACACTCCGGCCCCGGCTGCTGCGGGGACGGTCGTGGGTGTGGACAACCCTGGATCCAGGTCCGTCTGGTTTCGAGTCGGGAGCCTCGACTGGACGCGCTTTGCCCAGACGGCGGCATCTCCCTTCTGGGAGGAGCCTCGGTGAACTGTCCTGTTCAGCGAACGGACAAGGGCCATCGTGCGGGGACCCTTCTCTCTGGGGGCCCTGCTGGGAGAGGCTGTGCCTGGGGGTCTGAACAGTGCTGGGTCCTGGCCCCCGTCACAGGGGGCCGCGGCGATGTGGTGCAGGGTCAGCGGGAAGCAGGCGGGGGCATCGCGGGTGGGGGCTGGGCGGTGGGCTGGCCCCGCAGCTCAGAGACGAGCAGAGGCCATGCCTTCCTCGCACGTCCTCCCGGGGCTCGGGGGTCTGTGCCCTCGGGGGCTGCCTTGAAGCGACTCCACCCAAGTGCCCGCATCTCCCCGGGCTGGCGCACTGCGCTTCTTCCTGGGAGCCAGGCGGGCTCGTCCAGGCTCGGGCCACGAGGAGAGGGGCCGCCTTCCACGGAAGGTTCGCACAGGGCGGGTAGTCGTCACCGAGCTCCTGGTGCCTGATCCCCCGACGGCCAGAGCAAGGGCAGCAACCCCGGGTCTCCTTCAAGCTCGAGAGGAGGACACTTCAGCATCCCTCCTGGAGCAGGACCCGCGGGCAGCGGGCTTTCTGACGGTGGCAGACGCTGTTCCCACTGTCTGTGATCTGAGCCACGGTTCGGAAGGTGGCCGTGAGCCCGGCACAGCCGTCGGAGCCGGACAGCCTGGCGTGGTTTAAGCCCGTCTGGAGACCCACAGATACCGCAGCCGGTCGTCTGGGAGCGGGAGGGCATGCAGGGGCGTGTCCGTGTGTCCTGGGACCTTGTCCCGTGCCCAGCGTCTGCTCACGCGGTGAACCTGTGCACACTCACCGACCCCGCGACCCCATGGGCCCGCTGGCAGGAGAGTGGGTGCCACGGCTCCCAGGCGCCTCTCACTGCCCTGTGGAGTCCCCCACGGTTTTGTCCTCTGTCCGGACGAGGTCCGAGCAGCTCACCGGGCGGGTGTCCGAGCCAGGACCCCCCCCTGCCCCGTTCGAGGGGGCCCCAGTCCCCTGGCCTCCGCCCGTGGGGCCGGTGCATGGAGTGGGTGGTTGTGCCCTGCCCCTGCGGGAGACAGGCGAGTGGTCTGAGACGGGCGTAAGCAGACCAGTGGACCGGAGTCCGTGCTTCTGCCGCAGTCACGGCTGTCTCCCCGCACAGAGACGGGCCCTGCCCCGGGGGAACAGATGATCTCGGGGGAAACACGGATCCCTGTCAGGCCTGTTCTCCGTTCCCGGGTCCCGGCGGGCGGCCAGCCGGTCCCCCCTCGGGCAGCACCCGCCTCTGCCTGCACCCAGAGCGCAGCTGCAGGCCTGGCGGCCCGCTGGGGACCGGCATTTCCTCAGCCGCCCCGCCCCCGTTCCCGCCCCGCCCCCGTTCCCGCCCCCGACTCCCCGCCGACTGTTGCCGGGGACAAGCCGCCTCTCGCACAGTTCGTGGAAGTGTTTCCACGCCTCACCAGCAGCCTCGGTTTCCGCCGGGAGAGCAAAACGACACTTGGTTAAAGTGGAGCACGGAGCCCACGGGGTGTCAGGGTCAGGGCTCGGCGTCTCACCCCCCACCCGCCGCTCGGAGCGCGCCCCACGGGGCCGGAGTGGGGGAGCGGAGACAGCCAAGCGCTCGGCCCCACACGCGCTCCTCCCGCCCGGCGGTGCGCCAGCCGCCTTCCACGTCTCCTTCCGCGCGTCGAGCGCGTGGCCTCCCGTCCGTGTGGGAACGCACAGCTGGGCCGGAGCGCTCCAGGGCCTCGTCACTCCCCACGGAGACCGGCCACGGCGTTCGCCCCGGTCACCGGGCAGACACACGGCACGCCGCACGCGTGTGCACTGTTCCCCCGCCGGACGCCTCATCCTTTGGTCGCGGGCTTCTCCGCAGTAGAAAGGGGGGGAATGGGCTTTCCCTGCGGCCGGAGGGGCTGCGTCCTGGCCGGGCGGGCGTCCCCTCCCTCGGGGCAGAGCAGGGGCCGGCGGCCCCACCCCCTGGAGGCCCAGTCAGCCTTCCCCGGGCGCAGCCCCGTCTCCGGAAGAAGAAAAAAGTGTTGCACACGAGGCGGCGGCGGCGAGGGACAGGTGGAGAGAACCCTTTCCTCCAGTTGGATTCTGCCTTGGCTGGGAGAGAACCCCAGGGGAGTGCGCGCGCCACGCAGGTGTCACGGGCCGTGGAGGCACGGCAGAGGCTCATCCCTCCGCCACCCGCTGGGCCCACAGGACGTGTGTCCTTCACGGCCCTCCTCCCCCTTCCCTCCCGGACGTGCGGAGACGCGGAGACGCGGGAAGGAGGCGCGCACAGAGGGGCGGTGCCCGAACTCTCGGGGGCACTCGGTCCCCGGCAGGTGCTCCCTGTGCCCTCCAGCGCGCACCCCACGTGGGGCCGGGAGGCCGCTGTGGAGCCCGGGGTCTGCGCCACCTCCTAAGGGGGAGGAGGGGGGAGGGGAGGGGGAGAGGGAGGGAGGAGGGAGGGGAGAGGAGGAGGGGGAGGGGGAGGAGGCGGGGCAATTCTGAAACGGGAGCCCTGGGGGGGCAGTGGGCGCCCCCAGCCTGCAAGCCGCCCCCCTCACACATCCCGGCACCGGCGGCAGCTGCTGTCCATCAGCCGAACCCCGTGGCTCTGCCCCAGCCGGCAGCCGGCAAAGCGGAAACGGGAAATCCGTGTCATTTCCAAAGTCGGCCCGAGTGCTTCGGCGAGGTTGCTGTTCCCAGACCTACGCTTACACCGCGCGCAGCCTCCTGCCCACTGCGGCAGAAAGGGGAGATGTCGGAGTACAGAGTTCCGATGTTCACGTGACCATTAAGAGGCCTCGAGTGTTTTTCCCTGTAAGTTTGTGAAGGGCAGAGTCGCAGCCCGCGGGAGACCGCCGAATGCCGGCGTCGGCCCACACGCCGAGGGCGGGTCCCCCCCCCCGCCCCGCGCCGCCTCTGCGGTGGACGTGCGGGGGCGGTGCGCCTCCAGCGCGCGCCGCGGAGGGGCTTACCTTGGCCGTCCCCTCCTCCTTGAGGCTGATGACGTCCAGGTCGAAGTCCTTCCTCGAGCCGTCGGTTCTGTTGAAGGCGATGCGCCCGGTCAGGCCGTCCCACCGAGCCTGTGGGGAGGGGGCGGGCCGTTAGCGCGCGGTCCCCGTCCCACGCCACCCCGCCTGCTTCCTCACGTCCGCCGCCGCCTCCGGGCACTCGGCTGCGCCCCGGCGGGCGCGGCAGGCCCGCTCCGCGCAGGGACGCCAGAGGCAGCCGTGTGGGCCGCAGGTCCTCGACGCGAGGGAAGGGACGCAGGCCGTGCTCGGGGGGGGCAGGTGGACGCCCGTTCCTGAGGGTGTGAGCAGCCCGGCCCGTCTGCCTGGGTGCTGCCCTGTGGGCGTCTGGGAGCCGCGGGAGTGTCTTTGGTGACGTGGGGAGCTTTACAGGGAGAGGACGGCCCCGAGTGGGGCAAGATCGTAGGCTGGCGGCTCTGAGGCAGTTCTCCCGGGTGAAGTGTGTGGACACGTTTCAGCATCACGGGGCCAGCACCGCGGCTGCGTCTCCCGACTCCCACAGCGTGCACCCGGCCCTGAAATGCGAGAGGAAGCCGTTCCCAGCCGGGCGGACAGAGGCTCTCGAGGGGACAGTCACCCCTGAGAGTCTTCGTGAAGAGTGTGCTGAGGTGGCCACTTACCGTCCGCTCCCACCCTTGCTTCCTGACCACTGCTCGGGAGGAAGGGACACGGTGACAGAAACACGGGCTGTGCCTGACGAAGCTGGACCTTAGCGCCAGCGACGGCCAGGACGGGCAGCCAAGAGGGAGCGGCCTGCGCTCCCACCTGAGATGTTGGTGCGAGCACAGGGGCCCGGGACCCACTGCCGAACGCCGACCCCGCCTCAGGAACACACGGCGTTTCCTACGGCCGCCGGTCCCCGCGGTGGCTTCCCTGGCCGGGACTCCGGTGAGCACGCTCTCTGCACTGGGACAAAGAGCCCCCAACCCGCCAAACACAGGGAGGGAGCGCCTGGCGGGTGTCTACGGACCGGCACTGCCGTCCCCGACGTCTCCAGGCCGGCGCCTTGTGCTCCGGTCACGTCTTACGTCACAGGCCCAGGCTTCTCCGAGGGCTGACGGTGAAGCGAGAGTTGGTCACCTGCTGCTTGGGGGTTCCGGCCCCCGGCCGGAGGGTGGGCACGGCCTGTCGGAGGCCTGGGCCCAGCGGACGTCGCCATGGTGCTGGGGTCTGGACAGAGTCAGTTTCCAGCCTCCTTCAGGCCCCTACAGATGCTCCCGCACCTGCCTCCCGGTCTGCCTGGAGGAGGCAGTCGTCCTCGTTCAGTTCCGCAGGATCTTCTGCAGGCTTGCTCCTGAGGGCCGCCTCTTCCTCGGGGGTCGCGCTGGGAGTCAGCCCGACCCGGTGCAGCGCTGCCGGCGGTCTCTGCGCACGCGCAGGCCGGGCGGCACTCCCCTCCACGCAGCCCGGAGCTCGCGAAGCCCAGTCTCGCGTCCACCAGGTGTGTCTGCTGTGTCTCTGAGACGCGGTCGTGCTGGCTTTATCCTTCAACTGAGCGTTCCCATCACTGGGGCGGCACAATTCCCACTTTCTCCTGCTTATCCTCCCTGCTCACCCAAGCGGCAAAAAAGCTCTTTTTCTTCCTCTGCTCCAACAGCGCCTCCTCCTCTGCCCGAAACGTCTGCAGAGATTCCCTCCTGGATCTTCCCTGAACTCCAGCACCTTCCGCCTCCCAGGTCAGATTTCCCTGCCCCACCATTGCCGCACCCTCCTGCTTCCCGCCCAACAGGACCATTTCCGTATGGTTCTTTTTTCTTTTGCAAACGAAATGTTGGTAGGTGTGCATCGCCAACACAGTGCTGGTTGGGGCCAGCAGACCAGGACGCGTTCCCGGGCCCCGTTGTCTGGGGCGAGGCGGCAGCACAGCTCGTTCAGACGATGACACGCAGTCACACGGACGGTCGTCGTCCCCGTGTGCCCGCCCCCGTGGAGGTGTCTGCACGGGGGACGAGGACGCAGCCCGCCAGGGGACACCACACTCGCACCCCCGTCCCTGTCGTGGGAGGCGGCCGCCGCCCCCGCCCTGCGCAGACCCCTCGCCGAGACCCCCGAGCGGCAGTGAGCCCGGCGCGCGGCTGGCAGCCAAGGGACAGAAAGGAAACAACAAACGTTTCCGCTCACATCTCATTTCTGTGCTCTTTTTCGAGATGTTTATTGCCCAAATAAAACATATATATGTTTTTAGCATCAAGGAAGTAAGTAGCTAGCACTTAACTCTAGGCTCTTATAACACTCAGCTTTCAACTTCAGTCAGAGCGGTTGCCTGCGCTTGCTTCTCCCGCAGGGACCTGAACACAGAATCCCACCCAGCCCTGCATCTCCCGGACTCCGTGCTCCCCGGAGGGGGCCGCGGGCTCTGAACTGCTTCCTGCGGGAAGACGGACGTCGCTTTCGGAGAGGAGAGGGGAGGGGCTTTTCTGGAAGACACGGCCTTTTAGGAACAGCAGTTTCACCCTGGCTGGCATAGCTCAGTGGATTGAGCTCGGGCTGCGAACCAAAGCGTCGCAGGTTCGATTCCCAGTCAGGGCACATGCCTGGGTTGCAGGCCACGGCCCCCAGCAACTGCACATTGATGTTTCTCTCTCTCTCTTAATCTCCCTCCCTTCCCTCTCTAAAAATAAATAAGTAAAATCTTAAAAAAAAAACACAGCAGTTTCTGCGGCTTGTCCGGCGATGTCTCAGAAACAGTGCTGTTGTGTGAGGACCTTACGAGCAGAAGGTTCGAGGCGCACCCCAAAATTAGCTCCTTGGAGGATTCAAGCAAGCGAAAACTCATTTTTAAATGACTGGGCCGTGTGTTAGGAAAACACAAAAACCTGAAAATAAAGGGAAACGCGGAGAAGACCTCGTGGCCTGTCTTGGGGGCAGCGGCCGTCTGCAGGCTCACCCCAGGAGGCCGACGCCCCGGGGACCCGGGAGGGCACTGCGGAGTCTGTGTGGAGGGGGAGGGGGCTCGCCCTGAGGGAAGGGACTCCCCCAAAGGTCCTGGTTGCCGTCGCTACCGGGGGTCCCAGTGAGGACAGCTGAGGTCTTCTGGGACCTGGGAATCAATTCCTGGCACGTCCACAGACCGGGCTGTTTCTGTTTCTCTTTAGTTTTGTGTTTGCAGGTTTTAATTTCCCCCATGTCCCCGTCATGGGGCGCTCGGTGGGGTGGGCTCGACCCTGGCGCCCTCAGCGTCCCCGCGCAGACCACAGTGTGGCCGGGATGTGGCCGGGATGCGCCCGCAGGGCCGACCGGGTCCGGGGCAGCGGGTCAGGCTGCCTGGGTTTCGGCCCCGGCCCGGCTCTGTGAGCAGCTCCCTGCGGGGACCGGGGCCGCCGGTCGTAGGTCGCACGTGGGCGACGGGGCGGCAGGGAGCAGGAGCCCCGCTCCCTCCGATGTCAGTGGTCGTTGTCCCACACACGGGGCTCGCGGGGGCACCGCACGGTAGCCCATCCTCGGGCCGGACATGCGGCCTCTCTGCCCCGGCGTCCGGCCTCACCCAGAGGTCGGATGTGGGAGATGGGTGTTAGCGGTTTCCGCGGGCACACGCACGACCGAGACTCTGGGGCCCACGGAAGGGCTGAGGGTCTGGAGCTGCTCCCCCATCCGTGTTCCCCCTCCCCCACCCGTGTTCCCCTCCCCCACCCGTGTTCCCCCTCCTCCATCCTCGTCCCCTTCTCCGTGACCTTGACCCTTCCTCTGCCTCCAGCAGCGCCCCTAAGCCCCGCCCGCCCCCACAGAAAGATTGTGAGCGCAGGGACCCCCGCTGCCCCCCAAACGCCCGCAGCCCGTGGGCCATTCCCGGCGGGATGCGCATTCGCCTCACGCCCGCTCCTGCCTGGCTCCGCCCCCCAAGGTCCGGGCAGTCCCGCTCGCCCTGGGGGCGGCTCTGGCCGCCAGCCCCCCGCCCCCCGCGCATGTCTCCCTCTGCGCGGGCTGGAGGAGAGACGCCCCCAGGGATCTCGGGGAGGGTGCGCCGGGGGCGTCGCCCTCCACTGAACGGGTCTGCTTGGCGAGAACTTCCGCGCGTCCACGGCCAGACGGGCGCCCACCGTCACCGTCCTCCTGGCTCTGCGCCGACGCTGCCGCCCCCTGTCCCGCCGCCGCTGGTCCCCGCGGTCGGGGCGGGTGGGGCGTGCGGGTCCTGCTCCTGCTGGAACGGGGCGTCCGCGGTGCAGGAGGAGGCAGCGCTGGACGTCCCTTCCCCGGCTTTCGCCCACTGGCCCGCCCGCTCTGGTCACAGTTCCCTGATCGGCATCCGCGGTGAGCGCCGTCCGCTCTTCACGGGGCCGGGCACAGGCCCCCCCGCCCCCCGGCCTGGGGGGCGCTGAGAACGGTCACCGACTCCAGCCAGCGAGTCACCCGGCAGGTTCTCAGCGGGGCCCTCGGCACGGAGTCCTCCTCCTCCCGGCGGCTGCCTGCCTGGAGAGCGCGCCCCAGGGCGGCGAGGGCCTTGGGACCGGATGCCACCCGGGGAGACGGCCCTGCGCGCCCGGTTCAGAGCGCGGCTGTTCCGGGCTGCGCAGCTGCAGTCACCGGGCGAGGCTGGGTTTCCGAACGCCGGCACGTCGATAGAGGACAACACGGTCTCTGTCCTTGCACTTGTCACCTCTCGGGCCGCAGGAGAACTATCACCTTAAGTGTTTGCATCACACACATCGACTGTGAACTCAGACACGATGGTCGTGTTTCACGTTAACTGTCTGGGTTAGCTCCCTCTTCTCCGGCTGACGTTTCCTGGTCGCTGAGAGTGTCCACTCGTCTTCGGATCTGACAGGTAATGTCCGTGGAAGGCGGGAGTGAGCAGGGGGCTCTCCGAAGTGGTGAGAAGGGCGGGGGGGGGGCGTCGGCGAGCGAGACCCGGGGGCCCCAGGGTCACACGAGGGAAGCAGCTGTCGGTGCCCAGGTCGGCGTCCAGTCCCCTCTCCTCTCCTCCCGAGACGCCGGGGCCAGCTGGCCGCACCACCGGCACGTCCGCCCTCCCCGCGGCCACGGACTTGGGGGCGTGGGATCGGGGAGCAGTCAGACGTGGGCCATTTGCGCCCCAAACCAGCTCCCGTCCCTCCGTC